AGCTGGCATGAACAAGGAGTCCTGAGCTAAAAGCGCTAAACATAAACCCGGCAATGCAAACCAATGCTTTGTTACGTCACAGTGGTAAGACATATTCACGTTCTAATCACGTGCACATTCCAAGGTGCACAATGGCGCACGCGCTAGTTTCAAGTTTTCGCGCGCGTTTGTGATACGTTGACTTGTTAAATTTTAATTTATTTATTTTAAAAATACTCTAACTTTACAAGCGGGCTGGAAGATTTCGAACTTCAGATACGTAGGCTTTTAAAATGACAATTGCTACAAAACTTAACTCTTGCGAAGCAAGAGAGAATAAATTTCTCACAGCTTTATAAAACAGCGAGTTGTAACGGCGCCTGCTTCTGCTGAGGGAACATTAAAAACTTCAGTTTTATAAACACAAGCAGCCAACTAGAAATATAACTGAGCCTTCCAGTTGATAACTTGATCTTGTTCATGTAAGCGTCACGATTTTTATACAGTTTCCTGAGCTGCCAATCACCAGCTTATTTCCATCAAGTGACACATCTAAGGCTTGAATGGGTTTCCCTCCCTCCTCAACACTGGCAATCACCTATTTTATGAACAATAAACACAATGAATAAGGGAAAATGATCTACAATGCTACTAGCCCAGTAACCACTAAACACCAGCTGGATTTATCCTCAGTAGCCCCAATTTATGCTTTGTAAAGATCTGTAAATAGCCAACTGGTCTGGCCCCACCAGTTGGGATTTTTAACAAGGTTAGTTTGATTAGTAATATTTTTTTAAACTTTGCTGACATTGGTTTTGAAAAGCCCCACTGAGCCACATTGATACTACAGTTTTTAATTTCTACTTTTAAAAACCGCCATACTTCATCATCTGGATTTTCCTAAACAAGTTTTCTCCTTCCTCGTGTCTTTTTCTTAATAAAATATCAATTCAACCAGACGAAAGCTCTCGGTGTCATTAGCTTGTAAGCATGTTCTCTTGGCAGCTGTTATACCCCTACTTTAGGAGCGGCCTTGCTTACAAGCTACGATTTCTCTGAAGTGGCGTGGGAAATACTCTCCGCAGCGAGAGCTACGTCATTTGGCTTTTAGTTCACGGTCTAATAAAGTGCTATAAGTCTTACCAAGACAATTTTAAATTACTCTGAGTTAGTTCTAGGCGAACCACTAGATCTACAAACAAACTAAGGTAATTGCTTCTTCAAAAATGATTTCAGTTATGCTGTACTCTTTTTTCCCTAGTCTGACTGAGCACTATCAATTTTGGCTAAGAGATCTCCGTACTTTAACAAGTACAGTAAAATGGTAATGTGGGTTGGCCTAGCACAAAGCAACTAACCCAGATGCTGAAATGTTACTCACAGTCACAACCATCCTGTAAGACCTGATTGCACATGGAGATGTAATTTCTGACCCCCACCCCACCCTCCCCTCCCTAATAACACGTCCAATTCCCCACCTTGTGTACATTTCTGTTAATGATCTTCAGATCATTTGTTCCACTTCCTCCCGCTGCAACGATGTCACTGCCAGAACAAAACCGACCCACATACAGAAACTCTCCGTGCTCATCATGGGGAAATGGAATCACTTCTACCAAGTGCCCACTTTTGAAATCCCATATCTACAAATAGAAAGGAGACATTGTTAATAACAGCTACTACAGAGATAGACTGCACAAATGTTTGAATATTTTAGCATGAGTTAATATTTTATAGTTCCCTTCTAAAAAAAACGTACCTGTAGTGCATCATGTGCCACCCAAGATGCTGTCAAAATGGAATCCTCCCAGATATCAATTCCATCACCACATATGTACGGACCGTGGATTGAACGCACCACTTGATCAGATCTTACATCCCACACCTGGAAAAATGCAAAAAGATGGGCAACTGTGGTGAGGCCCAACTTTCAGTCACCTGTGGGATCATTATGGGGACAAAACAAGATGGGTAGTTATATTACCCCATGTAACAGTGGCACTTGTACAGGACTGTGAGATGACACTTGCCCAAGGTTTCAGTTTCTAAAGTGGTGAATGCTCGACACATTACTAGGATGATTAGGGTAGTTTTTGTACAAGAAATCACTAATCCACGGTATGGTAGGCCCGCAATACGTGCAAATGCCTCCAGCTGCCAAGCCTTCTGCACCCCTTGCATACAAATTAACCTAGAGAAACCTCAAAGCTCTGACTGTAACAGGATAAGGACCTGAGATTTCATTCTATTAAGGTTTTACTTGAATGCTACATTAATTTGTACCTTTATACATCTGTCCCAGCCTCCAGTTAAAAATATGTTGTCATCAAAAGGGTGGAATTTCAAGGCAAAAACCTTTCTACCATGCCCTGATTCAGGAGACAGGATGAATTCTCTTCTGAAAAAAAAAAAAAAAGTATTGGTGTCAACTCTATAATTGAAAAAAAAAATACCCATGACTCAAAATAGGCCATTTCCGATTTGCCCTTTGCCTCCATGTCAAAATGAGTCTCAGTGCAAATCCATTCAAATGAAAATTTTGTGTTTCCCCTACAGCTTCATTTTCATGCAAATCAAAGTCATCTTCATATGAAAGGCTTTACACAATGACTTGCTTTGAAACAGAGGCACAAGATAACTTGGAAATGGCCTATTTTGAACCAGCAGACAAGACATACATATAGAACTGGGGTGCTTACCATTTAAAAAAACTATCCAGTTGGAAATTTCAGGCACAAACATTAAACCATTAAATCCAGCGTTGCGAAAGAGGGAATTGCTATAAAGTATATCCACATCAGCTAGAGAGACTTAAAAGAGCAGAAAAATAGCTTCACCTCAAATCACAGCCCATATTTTCTGAAGCTTCCCAAATGGAATGGCGTGAACCATTTGATTTTCCAACTGGAATTTCCGGTTTTCCCATGTAAATGGTAAGTACCCCAGTACACATTTAAGCTAACATAACTGTGCAAGATTTATAGGCAAGCAAATTCTCAAGAACGGCAAAATGTAACTTAAGCAACCATTGAAAGAGCTGCTAGTCTCAAGAGGCAATCTAGCTCTAAAGGTGACCTACAATTCATAACAATCTGTCTTATAGTCAGTCTAGAAATTATACAGCTACACTGTCCTTCAATTCAATGTTAATTGCAGCTGGGAAAGATTTAACAATAATTTAATTTACAATAATGTCTAACTGAGAGTGAGTTTTCTCTCTGTTCATGAGCACATGGTTAAGAGCACACTCTAATGAGATGGCATTCAACAATAAAGAAAAAGAAAAAAATACTACAATTCTTAAGCCAAAACAGGATTGAGACCAGTCAGATTCACTCCTCTCACAACTCTATGGCTTGATTGAGCAACTTTGCGACTCATGCTCTCAACAACAGTAGTCAGAGCAAGCTTGGTCTTGATAGGAAAACGGCAGATAAGTTCAGCATGCAAAGAAAGTCATGTCCAATTGGCCAGGGCTAGGGGAAATTATCAGCTGGGCCAGTGGATTCTGTCTTTTGCTTGCTGATAGGCATGTACATATTGAAGAACTGCACAAAACANTATTGGACATCCATGCTATGGTTTTGACAGCTGTCAAAACAAGGTATCCACTGAATCCACGGTATCCGTAATTTCTACAATCTTGGTTACACTTATTGACCTTCCTAGAAATAGTTTGTTAAATTTAACTGGAAAAAAATAACGAAACCACAGGCTGACCAATTATTACGCTCACAATTGATCATTGTTTGAGTTTCTGATCCAAGAAAATCAAATCCTCTTTTTCATAGTTAATTATTGCAATCAGGAGCTCTGCTTTTAGGTTTGGCTGAATCTATACATCACAAGTAGAATTCTACCCGAACACTAATGCAAATGCTTCAATCTGATTGGCTGAGCCATTGCACACTCTCAGCCATTAGTGTGCAGTGGCTGGAGGTCGTCATTGAAACAGCAACATTTTTTCTGTTTTTCCAAAGATTTGGGGGAATATTTTGATGCAAATGGCTAATTAAAATTTCAGAGATGACTGACAGAAGGACATTTACGGTTTCGAGACTTTAAAAACTTTGGAATTACTGAAAAAATTATGTGCGTGTTCACACAACTGCAATTTCAAATGACAATTCAATCCAAATGATCTTTTTAAGGCACAAAGTTTAATAACACGTTGAGAAAAAACTGGAAACTGTTATTTGAAATAAATTTCAGTTAGAATTCTACTGAAACAATTAGATTATTCGCTCTCGATTTTTATGAGGTGATAGTTGATTTGGCCTTCAACCTCATCAACTATCACCTCATAGAAATCTCGAGCTCAGAATCTAATTGTTAATTAGTGACATCATTTGTTTAATATGATTTCAATTTTATGGTGTAGTTTGTGTAGGAATTAATGACAGTACTTTAAAAGTCGCTTAAGTAATTAGTTACCTCACCTTACCAGCAGTTCCAAAGACCTTGCCGTCATGTGAGAAATCCATAGCACTTATCTCATTATGGGATTCATCGAGGGTCTTAAAAAAATTCCATGATTCCAAGTCCCAGCATGTCATGGTCCCATCGGCAGCTGATATACAAGTTATAATAGTTACAAGAAGTTATAGTTATAGAAGTTTACATAGAGATAGAGCTTACAACAAAGAATGTATAATGCAAATTACAAAATAAGTTAACCTAAAAAATCCTACGTTTGTTTTATAATCATAATAAAAAGCAATCAGTCATACGTGATAGAACTCTAAAAAGCCGTCAGCATATCAAACAGGATGACCAAATGCAGTGTAAACACTGTTAAATATCAAACATTATAATCCATCAAATATTTTCGCTTGCGCACGATTGGTCTAAACACATCACATGACTGAATATTCCCCAACTTTCAAAACCATGTGAGTTGCAAAAAATATTTGAAGGATAATAAACACAATAGCCTCCATATGGCACAAAAATATGCTTGGATATTTGTCCTTGGACGTTATTTGTTCCTCGAAGCTCACAGTTTTCCTCGAGCTGCAGTCTCAGAAACCTGCTTGCTTCTTGGAACAGATAATGTCCATGGACAAATATCCGTGCATAATTTCGGGCCAAATGGAGGCTATTGTTTATATAACTTCAAGATGATATCACATGCGATAACTACTATTGAAGATTGAAGGCACTCCGTTAAAACTACTCATCTACACAGACACCTCCTGAGTAAAACTCACTTAAACTTAACAAATCAGTCTTTCCTGTTTCTTTGCTTCCTTTGTGTGACCCAGACCATGCTGTTATCGTAAAAATACTTCCCACTCTCAGCAACACAAAGTTATTTATATGCAAAGAAAATGCACAGTTTACCAAGTACATGCATTGTATAACAAAGCTTCACTCACTTGCAGTGATCAGCTGTTCATCTTTAAAAGGGAAAAATTTGACTGATGTTATTGGCAAGCCATAGAGAGAGCCATGTTTTAGTGGACGCTTCTTTCTTCCTGTAGTACATTCATACACCTTTAAAAAACATGTATCATTTTTCTTTGACAATTTTATGTACTTGTGGCAACAAATTACATTCACGAGTGCTTGTGTTCTGGGGAAAACTTTCCTGACCTATAACAAAAATGCAGAGGATGCCTGTCTGGGACAAGTGGATTTTCCTGGTAGGTTCAACTTTTCATTCTCATTTTCCCAATGGGCAAGTGCCCAGGCAAGTCGTCTAAATGAAGTAAATAGCAAAGTAAGACTTGTCCAGGGCAAGTAAAATTTGAGAGCTGCTTGTCCAAAGGGCAATATGGAATTCAAGATTTTTTCAAGCCCTGGGATGGGAACAAGGAGTTACCTGCAGTAAACTACATCTAGCATTTCATCCAGGAAGGGAAGGCGGGTACATGAAGCTATTAATACAGACATATGGCCCCTGTGTGTTCTGCAGATGGGTTAGTACATGCACATGTAACTAACTGCCAAAATATTGTAGTCAGACCCCATCCTTCACTGACTTCTATTTACGCCAACTGCTTTTACATGTATATTGTACGTGACATATCACTAACTAAAGACACTAAGAAATTCACCTGAATTGCACCATTGCCGCATCCTGTAACCAAATACCGCTGATTGAATGAAAAATTCACACTGTACACTCCCATCACATCTCCAAAATCTACTTCTACTGACTTCTGTATGCCTCCATTACTGACAGAGTCACTGAAAATAAATAAGCACAATTTTCTCGGACCTTTTGACTGAAAATGGAAGAAAACCTATGTTTTATTGTTTTGCCTAATTATTTGTCTATTCTATACCTGACCAGCGGTCACCCGCTTGACAGTGCTGTAATATATATCGTGACTTGTCAGCTTGCTGAATTAATTATTTTCTGTTATGTTATCACAAACACATGTCAATCGTGTAAAGAAAGACCCAACCCACCCTACCCACACGCCCACAGGACTCTTTCTACTATAGGCACGTTACTAATAAAGTTTTGTGTCCGCCGCAGCCAGTCTGTCACTTGTGCCTGTTGCAGTATAATGGTTAATTGATCGGGATCACGGCCAAATGTCCTCTACCACTGGATCAGGAGCATTTCTACTCCCCCCTGATTGCAATACCAGTTTATTGTAAGATTATTACCCCCCTCCAGCATAAACTGTCATAACCAGTATACATTCTATTTACACTCCTGGGTGGAAAGAGACACTCTGAGAGAAAAGTGTCTTGCCCAAGAACACAACAGCTGTTGTATGCTATAACCCGTATAACAGTTGTGAAAGCCTAACTTAATAAGCTCAAGTCTTAACTTAATTACCAATAAACGATCTTGTGCAAAGTTGTAAACTAAACATTGCCGTGAAATTTACACAATGCAAATAAAGTCGAGACATAAATACACGTTTAGTTTTTGCTCCAAAATGAAACAGTCTCTCTCTCTATTGCGCATCTACAACGTTGACAGCAAACAGAGCAAAGCCTATGTGGTCTTGTTTGTTTTCCATCAAACAGTACGTGAAAGCTCCATTTCCTCACCTGTTATTTTCAATCTCTTTTCCCGCGTTCAGCGCATCTTCGAGCCTTCGTCTTGTTCCAGCAGACATTTTAACTTGATTTACAGTTCGTAGCCGCTTATTTATATAGAAAACAAGAAATTAGTAGCTCCTTTCATTGCCGTTGCCAGGCAGTGCGTAAACTTTGCCCCTTGCGGCAAAAAAATCAAAGTTCAAACTACCAACAGTTCGGGGATGAAAATGACCGAAAACAAGTGGTCGATCGTTGTTGTTCCCAGTCTCCACCCGACTTATAGTTCACGGATGACCTGGGCAAAATCGCAAAATCGCAAAATCGCAAAATCATTGTTCCGGACTCAGCTTTCGGAACACGACTTGTGGTCGTCTAGTTATGGATCAAATTTTTGAGAAATAACGCGCTTGTTTAACTGAGAGGTGTTTCCTTTGCCTTCCGACAGCCCAGGGAAGTGTAGGAGGGGAAATCCAATTTAAAAAGGACGGGGGTATTCGTCGTACCTTTTAGGGGTTAAAAAGTCGGTTTTGATTCCTCTTTGATTGTTCAGCCTCAAAAGGCCCACAGCGGGAGCTTTTGCGGTAACTTTTAGGGTAATGAGCCCAAAAAAAAAATATGACGGGAGATATGTGTTGTTTTCCAATTAGTACCTCTTGAGGGTGAAAGCCACGCCCACAAAATTTTCAAAATTTCCCACGAGTAACCCGTCCTCCCTTCAGCTATAATTATTTCAGATTTGGTTGAAATGCACTGCTTTATCTTGGTGGGACGCCGGGGAAGGTGGTGTTTGGTTCGTTTGAATAAAACACGCAAGGTTATGTCGCTCATAGAGGTTTCAAGAGCCAGGGACAACGTTCTCCAATCGATATCCAGGATGCAAACGGCAGCAAAAAAAATCAAAGCCATCCATGGGATAGTGATTTGTAAGTGCCTAACATTATCGACCTCTTCGACAATCGAGCTCAGGTTTGTTATTTCAAAACTGTCCATGAATGCGTACTAAGGTGCTTCCTAAAAATTCGAGTCCACTTGTCCAAATTAGACTTAACTTTTCTCTTTTTACAAGGTTTTCGATTTTTGGCTTAAATAAGCAAGGCTGAATTACTAGTAAGCATGGTTGTTTATTTATACATCAAACTCACTAAAAAAAGAACCCACGCGTAGGCTTATAACAAATATTTACAAGCAAAAGGAAAATCTCATGGGGCCCATAGTAGTCCTTCCAAACAACATGTAATTTCGCACTGTCAATTAAATTTGTCAGTTCAATGAATCAATGAAGCCAAGAAAACAGCAACCGCTCGAAGTTTGACAAGTCGTTTGCATAAAAACAAAACTCAAATTCCAGGTAAAGAAATTCAGTTGTTTGGGAGAACCTGTATGGAAGGAAGCCATGATGCCATATCTAAGTACTTCCTGCTCAATCAATTATATCTAAAACAAACAAACAAAAAGTCATAAAACCATTATCTTTTCGAGGGAGGGGTTGGACAATTTCCAAAACAACATTCCTGCACAGCAAAAGCTGCTGAAAAAAAAACAAAAATCGAGCAAGTGCTTTTTACTATCCACGTTCTGTGTTTAACTTCACAACATTCTTGCATAAGCTACTATCCACCAAAAAAATCATGCACAAACTAAAGGTAAGAAAACAATTTCAAGCCCCAGAAAATTGCCCAGTCTCTCACCCCTCAAAACAAATAATGGTCCATCCCTGAACAAACCGGGTAGCCCAGAATCCAGTGCTAACTAATTGCCGCTATTCCGGTCCCGTCCACCTTACGTCGGAGCAATTCGAAAATGCAGCTTTATTTATACGGTTACGCCTACTGTCTACACTAATCTGTCACGAAAACAGAGCTTTTCGAAAACGCTCTTCAAACCGGAGGAATTTGAAAACGCCGGCTTTGCGTTTTAGTGTGAACGGAAGACATTCTGAAAACGGAGCTTTTCGAAAACGATAACGTTAAAATAATGTACTTTCCCTGTCCGAGTTTTCCTCAAACAAATCCAAAATGACCAGTCAATACCGTCATTGATGTATTTTCAAATTTCTCCAGCGTAGCGTGGACAGAAAACATTAGATGCGATTCCAGAGTGAAAACGCCGTTTTCAAATTTCTCCGCCGTGATGTGGACGGGACTTCAGTAATTACACAAATAACCGTTTAATTAACTTCACGGAAAATAAATATAACATCCGCTAAGGCAATCTTTGAGCTCTTTCCACTCCATGAAAAATTCTTCTTTGAATTTCCGAAAATTTTCAGTAACCAATGGAACAACATTTTCCGAAATTTGAGGAAAAGAGGACAAACCCTTGAGGTATACCCAAATTTATGGATATTCCTTACCAGGAACTTCCATTTCATTTGATTTTCCTTCCGAAATTTCTGGAATTTTCGGTTGAATGGTTCGCGTTTCGGAAATTCAAAAATTCAAAAATTTCCAGATTTTGTGGAAACATTCCTAGGAAATTTCCGCACTATTTATCCAAGTTTTAATATTTTCGTAATTTTTGGTTGAGTGGAAAGCGCCCAATGCACCTTGATAATTACTCGCCCAGTTCCTAGGTCTCGATATTTCGCCGCGGTCAGTCAGTTACGGATCACGTGGCCTGGGAGAAGCCGTACAAGAACGAGGCAAGATAACAATAAAAAAGAAACTAGCATTTTGCTACTTGGGTCCTTTTTATACAAAGCTTCCCAATTATCGTACCTTTCCAACAGTACGCGAATTCTGAAGTTCTGAAAAGATAATCGCTGCTAGTATAAAATGTAACTATCGTTTGAGTTCGCGTGTTATTGACAGGCGCAGGAAGTAGCAAGTAAGTACCTTACCAAGTTAAAACTAAGACAAGGATGGTTGTTTGGATATGTGACCTTAACAACCATTAGATTTTTTACGAAATTTTCCGTTTACTTCTTAGTTTTGGTTCCGATGACAAGACATATCAAACCCCAAAAACAACATTTTCGCACAATTCCTTCGATTTTCATCAATAACATCCCGCTGCGGGTCACATTCGGAAGCCTCTTCTCGCTTTTCGGCGATGAAACTCTCTCTAGAGTAGGAGAAATGATATTGCTTGTTTGCTGTGACACTGCACAGTCAAAAACTAGTACGTAATAGCATCATTGCCACAGGCCTACTGATGTTAAACTGTATTACAGACGTTTGCATTTAAAGTGGCTGACAACAACTTGCGGCTCTTTCCATCACTTAAACTTTGATGGATCAATACTTTAACCCTCTATCAGGTGATATCACAATGAGTGGGCATTTGTGCGTTACCATTATCGTGAAAATACTAGATTCAGAGTGGTAGTACTGATTCCTGAAAGTAGAAATTACTAGAAAGCGCTGGAAACTGTTGGCAGCCATCTTAACACATGAACTATGCAATTATTGATTCAGACGTGTACATTTTTCCCTTGTGCTTGACCATTTTGGCTTACAGGCATGAGAGCCAGAGATCCTGTAACAAAGAGAACACAAAATAAGGAAATGAAAAACGGGTTTAAGTTTAAAAGGTTTAAATTAATAATGGGGTGTGCAGGACATTTAACTCTCACAGTGCCTGTCTCCACCCAGTNTCGCTTCATGCTACAGAAACCGGAGATAAGCGCCGGCCTGATGGGCCACTTGGCTCCTACGCAGATTTCACCTTTAACCTACTTTGCTAACCTGTAAAATTTGCTCATTAGCGAATAAACGGAGCACTATTTCGTTAATTATAGTAAAAACAATGGAGTGTTTCTTTTAGTCAACCTAACAGAGTGCTGTAGAATCCCGATATAGACACGACCCGATGGACGCGGATTAAGCCATAACGAAACACGTGTATTTCATCTTCTTCAACTGGTACAAAGCAACGAATTTTTGTAACTTTCCAAATCGACATGCAAACGTTGTTTTCACGATTCCGTCATTTAGCTCAGAGAAGCCAGTTAAAAAGGCACAAGCGAGTTGTACTGTTCCGTTTACAGTATATCGACTCGTTCAAAAGTTTAAAAGCTGCTACGGAATTGACAAAGTGGCTACTCTCGGTCAAGTTAAGGACTGTAACAAAGACGAACTCGGGAAAGAAAGAAAAACACAACCAAGTATTATGAATTATGATGTTTTCCTTGATTCATTTGGCATGTGTTGACATTTACTTTCCGCTCATAATAATTTTCGTGGCACAGAGCAGTTTTGACTTGAGTCCAGAAAGTGACTCACATTTGCTTCGGTTTTGCATTACCATGCTAAGTGATTGGCTTAAAAAACCTTGTGCCACTTTGTCCTCCAATCAGAAGTACACAAAAACCAGTCGTGATTCGTTCGCACACGTTTTCCCGCGCTTTGCGTTCGCTACACGTTTTTACTTTGAGTTTTGATTGGTTCATAAGATTGTCTGTGTAATTTGTGATTGGCCTGAAAACCCAGACGTATTTCCGGCTGTCGCTTGTCTCGCCGGAAATACGTCTGCGTGCGCACGCTACCAGAGAGAGTACTTTGGTTTTAGCTTCACGACACTTCGTTTAAAACTGCTCTTAGTCTATTTTACTCGCAAAGAAGCTACATCTTTCGTCTTAACGTTACTAGATTACTCACCACCGTCAAAGTTGTCTATGAGTTCCTCGTCGGTATCAGGATCAGGGACCGAGCTTGTGGCTACAGGCACGTATCGCAGTGATCCTCCCGGCTGAGGATGAAGAGATTGTTCATCTTCAGTGTCATCTTCTATCAAGGGGTCTCTCAGTTGTGCTCCGTCACTATACAAACGCAGGTGAGTGTAACGTGAACGAAGCAAATTGTAGCGTCTGAAGAAGAAACGAACAAAACAAGCAGTGTAAGTGTATAAAAGCTGTCAATGACTAGGTGAGGAGGGATGATGCAGTGGTGAGAGCGCTCGCCTCTCACCAGTGTGACCCGGGTTCGATGCTGACCCAATGCCATCAGTGGGTTGAGTCTGTTGTTGGTTCTCGCCTTACTCCGAGGGTTTTTATCCGGCTACTCCGGTTGTCCTCCTTCCACAAAAACTAACATCTCCAAATTCCAGTTCGACCAGGACAGAGAACCCGCCTGAAAACCAGCTAAGGCTGACGTGGCTTCTTCTCTAAATGTTTTATTTTATTTTTGATTATATTTTTGTGTCTTTTCAAATAGTTCCTTCGTATATACGTGCCCTTGAAGCTACAAGTTTGCTTCCTTCCTTTGTGTGCAGACAAAGTGTATTGCAGCTTTAAAAAGGCCGCACAATCAAAATAACTATTTATTTATTTATTTATTTATTTATTTATTTATTTATTTATTTATTTGCGCCAAAAAAGTTCAGCTTTTGACAGATGAGAGGGAAGGAAAAATTTAATCCCTAATGTAAGCTACCTGAAAATATTTAAGAGTGAATGCCTATAAAAATGGACCTAAATCGCCTATCAATGGCACAGGTCGAAAAATTGATTTCGCTTGTATTTTGTCCATAGATAGGTCCNAATCGTTTTTCGCAAATTTCTCCCCAAAAAAGCTGCATTAGCAGAAACTAACTATGGTCCGTTTGTTTACTAGCTAGGGCCAATCTATGGGCAAAAAATAAGCAAAATCGATTTTTCGACTTGTGCCGTTGTTTGGTCCATAATTATGGGCACTGGCTCTTAACACTTCTGTCCTGACTGGGGACACTTAAGATGAACCAACAAACAAAATAACCACAAAAAAAAGGAAACATGCTAGAAATCTCAGCTGAACGAAGGCTGAGCATATCAAAGCAGGACCCAGCTTGTCAAAGATTGGATAACGCTACCCGCCGTATAAATCACAATCTAGCGGATTGTGTGGTTTGTTGTTTCAGCTCTTCTCCACTGGAGAGCGATTTATCCCGTGGATAGAGTTATGCGGCCTTTGAACAACTGGCCCCAGATCTTTACAACGCAGGGCAGAGAAGGCGAGCTCGAAACTACCGAGTATTCAGAGAACAGCAATCCACACACCTGAGGAAATAGAGAAGAGTCACTATAAGGAAGATGACTACCAGAGATGCTGCAATACCAACACCAATAGCCAGCCGAGTTCCTAATCCAGAGTTGCTGGAAGAAGTTGGAGACGAACCCCCATCATACCCTGAAAAGCAACCACATTACAGCCAGCGTCAATATCTCGATAAAAATAGGACAAAAGCCTGTGTGCACCCTGGCCTGCGAAAGTAGACGTATTTCCGGCTGTCGCTTGTCTCCACCGAAAGCGACAACCCAAAATACGTCTGCATTCGCAAGCTAGTGTGCACATTATCAGGTCTATGCATGTGACAAAATGGCGTACTTTCGTATGGTCGTTTGAATTCAGAAGGAATTGTACAGGAAGAACAAGCCAATAGCTCATTTCCGAGTAGCCTTGAGCCTCTCTATCAAAAGCGAGGCTGCTGCGCAACTATTCATATGAAATGAGTTAAATTTGCATGTGAATGAAATCCAATTTTAATATAAAAGTATGAGCACCAAGACTCGCTTTGAGAAACAGGCTAAAGGTAATTCGGAAATGGTCTATTACGGACTAATGCTTTTCTTGACAAGTCGTTGTAAATTTTCAAATTGTCAAACTGCCGTAAAATTTCTCTCTTGTAGTTTACTGGCCTCGATTTTCCTCTTATCATTAATCTTCTCATATTCATTCTATTTCTTATGGTTAAATAAAACACTTGTTCTTGAGGTTTTTTTTGTTAGGGATACATAACAGAAAAACCTATTTGGATTGGAAGGTCTTAACACTTTCATATAAAATCTTGTAATCTCTCTTACAGAGAACTGGTATGAAATTTGGCATTCTGCCTAATTTAAACATACTCTTCTCATTTGTGGAATAGTATTATTGCTCTAGCAACATGTATTACGACAGAAATGCTCGTAGCGTCTGTGACTCGGCCTCACTCGTGCGCAAAATGTCAACTGATTAAGAACAAATTTGAAAAAGGGCCCGAGAAAGGAATTTTCGAAGCGAACCTCGCCAAGTCTCTCTAACGGGGGATGAAAAGAGCGTACGAAGAAGTGCATCTTTTAATATCCATGGTAATGTTAATATCATCAATATCAGAATTACATTTCAAAACTGTTTCTTAGCGCATAAGTATCGATTGGAAATAAAATGCAAATCTTATTTGACAAGCGGCTAATGTCCAAAACGTTCAATTTACTGCGCTACGGCAGTCAAATTATGGTAAGAACGAATCATAGGCGAACTCTTTACACGCACCAAATATTTAATAGTATCATCAAATAAGTGTAGTAGGTAACAGCGGGGTTTTCAGCGGAGTGTCGCAAAACCAAAACCAAAGTAATCACTCTAGCCAATCACAAACGACAAAGACACTACAGTGAGCCAATCAATGGTCGAAGTGAAGCGAAGCGCGGGAAAACGTGTGTGCGCGCGTCACCACTGATTAGATGAAAAACTGGCGCGAGTTTTTTTAGCCAGTCAGGTAACGAAGTAAGTGCACCTCCATTTAGTTTTCGCCACTTAATTGAAAACCACTCTCTTTTAGAACACAACTAAATAATGAATTGGGCAATGCTGATGTCGATACCTCTGTCTGGAAGCACCTCAACATTTATGACCCTGATAGTGGTGTCCTTCGGTAACTGGATCTTCATCGCTCCATCGTCTACCAGTTTCTTCAACAGTTCCACAATCTGTCACAGTAAACAAAACACAATTACAAGCCGCTATTGAGGAAAATAAAAACTGAAAGTTGGTGTAACGTCTTAAGTCTACGTTCACTCCTCTAGATACGACATGAAGATTCTTCAGCCTTATAACAATTAAAGGAGCTCAGTCACGGTTAGCGCATATTGAAAAGTTTGGCCTCAATTTTTCAAATTCGTCATTTGTAATCCGTGTTAATCTTCTCCATCCTTAGCCATCCTTGTTCCTTTATGTTTTATCATTATCTCTTTGGTGTTTTTCTATCTTATTAAACTTTTATTCTCAGGTTTTCTACCATTTAAAGGTTATTTTGTATGTGGCCAAAATAACTCAAAATACCGTGACTGGGCTCTTTTAAGTAAACAGACCAGAAACGAATACGTTTTTCAAAATATACAAAGTTGCCACGCGGATGCACAAGCTAACAAAGTAAAGCAGTTACATTTTAGTTTTTAGCCCAAGGAAGAATTTTAAAGCCGTTTGCCGTAAAACTCAACCGTGTGATGAAATACTTAATTCCCGGGGAGGGGAGGGTGGAGACTGCCATATAAAAAGGACCGGGGTGTTCGTCGGAAATTTTGTAAAGAACCCCTAAAAGGTACCAAGATCCTGTTTTGTGGGCGTGGTTTGAATTTTTGTTCACCCCTTAGAAGTACCAATTGTGAAACAGCACACATTTATCTCCTGCTGTGGACCTATAGAGGCTGAACACCCCAGGAAATACTAAAGCCGCTTTTTATCCCCTTAAAGGTACGAGGAGCACCCATGTCCTTTTTATATGGGAGAACACCCCCCCCCGGAACGTAATGTTACTCTACACGACATTCCAAGAAGAAGCGAGTAGTGATGCTATATAGTCGAGTTATGACGCACGAGAGAAGTTAGGAGAGCACATAAGAATCGTAACCGTTGCTTGAGGTGCTGCCGAGAACAACTCTACCTTCTTGATGGGCAGGGGGGGGGGTGGGGGNGGGGGGGGAGCGTATTTATTCTTGAGGGACCTTTTAGCTTTACTGTGAGTATTGTTTCCAATTTTGTTACTACACAACCGAACACACTCAAAGGTTGAGGCACGTGCGCGTTGGTCAGCCAGACCCAAGATATGTTTTAATTGTGACAATAAGCTTACAACAAAGTGGATAAGAGATACATCAAGTAACGTCCTACATGCGCCAAAGCCGGACACGAAAGCCCAAAAAACCTCTTATTAGGAAAAATAGGGACTTGTACCCCCGACCAAATGCAGTGGCACCACCTTTGGGGTTTTAAGGTTGATATATAAACAACAGAACGAAAGATAAATAAGATAACGTTATTTACACAATAAAATAAACCTTATGTGAAAGTGCTAGTGGCAAGGCTGACCGTAGAATGTCACAAGTTTCTCAACCGTCTCTTTTTACAAACGTACTACCCATGAGCCTTTGCGTACTATGCTAGCACCCAGGTCTCTGTTCAGTGTCGGCAAAATATTAATTTAGGTCAATACCGATTATCATAAATTACATTATACACGTACAAACTAAAAAAAATAACGCCATTTTGGCGATGGTGGTTTCCTCAGCGATAAGAAACCTTTGGATTCGTTGACAACTTAGAGGACGGCATCGAGATTTTTCGTGGGCGCATACCCAGGCAGTGCAAAATCTATCACACAACAGAACTGAAATATCCGTAAGGGTGTTAAAAATTATTTACATTTGCATTAATGTTTACCTCCGTTCTTGTCTTGCTGCTATTCGTTGGGGCGGGTGTTATAGACACATCACTTCTCGTTGGCTTGCCGCGCAACACGACAACCTCAAGACGAGAGGGATCAACATCTAGCGCCTAAAAAATAACAGCAAAAATGTGATTAAGCCTTTAATAGGCCAGCTCAGTTACCGGGCCTATGAAGGCAAGCGAGGCTGCTTTTGTTGTGTAAATCAAGTTGTAATGCTAATTAGTATCACCCAACTAGTGGACTAATGCAAATCCTACATTTTAATTGGCTGCGCTACTAGAGGACTATTAGTAATAGTCCTCGAGTAGCGAAATCAGCGCAATCGAGCGCGACGCTTTCTTTCGTTTCATTCCCAAATAAATATTTCTTCAACTTGCATTTGCTAACTTTATTATTGCCTTTTATGTCCGACTAGTTGGGTGATACTAAAAGAGAGAGGTCTGTATCAAAGCAAGGTCACCTCCAGCGTCGCTGCCAATTGAAGGCCGGGTCTGTAAAATGGTCTATTAACCGGCGCACATCTATAACGGCGGTTAAGCGACACGATATTTCACCACGATATTGCAAGGATTAGGGGGGAACCACACGGGGATGTTTTGTCAAACAAGGGTTAGGAACGTTTGTCTACAACATGGTAGACCGTATAGTAGGAGCAAAACTGGAGCGACATGGAGAGAAAGCGCCCCCCCCCCCCCCCCCCCCCCCCCCC